TTATGGATTAGTCCACTGATAGATTTATAGCTAAATGTGAACTGAGATCCCAAACCTGGTTGGATGTGGAGGTGTGGTCTGGATGGGTTTATCTCCCTCCAGCCCTCCTTGATGTCTCTCTCTCTCTCTCCCTGCTTTCTGTTACAATGCCGTATTTGTCCTCTGCCAGGCCCCTCTGCCTTTGAGCCAATGAACTATGGACTGAAACCACTACAAGCTGTGAGCCAAAATAAAGCTATGCTTTCGTTTGCAGTTGTCTGGTATTGTGTCTCACCACCGAGAAAGTAACTGAGACAGTCAGAGAGGCTTGATCCTGCTAACATGGATGTATTCATATCATGCAGAACTTTGCTGACTCACAAGGTATTACTGGCCTTTTCACCTCTCTTCCTCCTTTGCATTTTGGTTATTAATATGCTGGTCTTTGAGAAAAAGTGATTTACTATAATTATCCAATTATTTTACTTTACTATCTTCACTTTATTATGCCTTCCCCATATTATCATATTGTTATTATTATTATTTTCCTGGGGAATGAACTCAGGACCTTTCACTCTCAAGACAGGCAGCAGAACCACTGAGGTAAATGCCCAGCCCTTCTTCTCCATATTAGATCTAAGACTTGGTTTAGATCTGGTCTGGATTGTCATCTGCTATGTTATCAGTATCTGTGTACATGCCGGATACACTGCTGGACATTTATAGGCAAATTTAAACTGTCATGACAGTGAGCATGTGACCTGTCAGTGCTATCTCATCAAACAAGGTTATCGATTCAAATGGACTACATACCATTGCGGTTCAAAGCATTAATATCTTTCTTATTGTTTTTCTTTTTTTTCCAGATCTCTTGGCAAAAGTGGAACATTCTAGGGAATCAAGGAAAGGTAAAGTAGGGCATTATCTAAATTGGAGCCATAACTATTTTAGCTCAGATCTTCATAGTTTTGAGCTTTCAGGTTTTATGAAAAATGATGCAATCTTGATTAAAACTCATGAAATCCTTTTAAAATTATCTGCCTTTTGAAATGCTGTGTCCAGAGTATTTTGGGGTAGTGGAATTATTCCTTTACATACTGCAAGAACTAAGCTGTTCCAGATACTCATTTGAAAAGCATCACCACCTGTGAAAGCCATGAGGTTTAGCTTTGTAAATTCGACCTTCATTACACTAGTTTCCTAATGTTAGGGATTATGGCAAATAGGAAAAGATACTGCTCCACGATCCTTGCTGGCTCCCAGGAGATGCCAAGTAAGCCAACTCTCAGCATAGCAGAGCATTTTAGAAGGTGAAGAGTTCAAGCTGACTTGGGCATGTTTTTCTCTGAAGACTTGGGAAGCGGAAAAGCATTACGAAGCATTGTAGCTAATGAGGTAACACACAAGTGGGGATCCTGCCAGCAATGTTTTGCTCATGAGGAAACTCAGAACAAATAAAATTACAAAAGTCTTTTGGCTCAGGAGCTACAGGAGGGGGCCAAGTTCTGGAAACCTTCCCCAGATCACCTATGAGTATTGGGCATCAGGCAGCACCGTCAACCAACCCACCCACAACTAGGCTCCCATCATTAAACTGAAAAGGGAAGACACAACCCTCTTTACTAAGCAACCCTGAACCTTCTCTTTTCTATAAATGGAGAAGAAATACAGGTAGAAAATAAAAATAGATAAAAGAGCTACTTTCACAGATACTGCATAGTTGCTAGCAATTCAGCCCAAGACATTTTGTGTGTGTGTGTGTGTGTGTGTGTGTGTGTAGGCACATATATCCATCAAAAGGTATCCATCAAAATTCTCTATGTTTACTAAATAAGAATTTATGAAAAATTAAAACATGAAAATAAAGACCTGTGTGCCAGACATGGTGGCACATGACTATAATCCCAGAATTCAGGAGGCTGAGGTACAAGCCTTGGCTACATAGTAATTTCAAGGCCAACCTGAACTGCACAGCCAGACCCTATCTCAAAATAACCCCAAATACATACATAAATAAATAGTAAATGTGTAGTTTATTAGCTTTTTTCCCATTTACATATGAATTTACAGCTCAAACACACCAGGGTGTTGAATGAATAGCTGTGAAATATTCATTCTAACCCAACATTACCCAATATGGAGCACCTACCAGAAACGAAAAATAAATGATAGACCAAAAAAAAAAAATTCTAGGTAGGACAGAGACACTTACTTGCCTTTATAGAACACAGTCCATTTATGGGTATTTTAGACACTTCTAAATATTTTAGTTAGCATTGGTCAGAAGCCTCAGCATAACTGATGCATTTCTTTTTCTACTTTTCTAAGAGGGTACCCTGGAAAGGCATAGCCTCAGTCTGAATGTGTGCTATGCCTTGGAAGTGAAAGGGGTTTGGTTCTCTTTGTAACAATGCAGGTCAACAATAGAGCTAGATTGAATTCATTGCATTTATATATGGCAAGACGAGAAATTTCACTTTTCTCTGGGTAGGAGTGTAGAGTTTTGCATGAATGATTGCTATTCCACCACATTCCAATATCACTTTTAATAACAACACTGCTCTCCAGTTCATTGACTGGGAGCATATTTTTTTCTTTTTATATTTTTTAGCCAGTTGATGACATTTTTTCCTAATGTTGTAAATCTGTATATTCTATATACATATTATTTTCTCCCTAGTACTTAATAAAACCTTTGAGATAATTGCTGAATTCCTAAAATACTACACACCTGAGGTTAGTAACCATGATATCATATTCATGTGGCAACTGAAGCCTAAGAGGACAGGATCTCAGCTAGGACCCTGTCACTTGTGACTTTCCCTTAATTCTTTTTTTTATATACTGGAGATTGAGCTCAGGACCTTGTGCTTGCGAGGCAGGCTCGCACTGCCACTTAGCTAACTCCCTGGCCTTTGCCTTCTGACAGAACTCTTGCCTTTTACCTGTCAAAAAAATCACCTTGCCCAGGTGATTCTTCGCTTTCTCACTCCTGATCATATCATGTCTATATGCTCCTGCTCTCTGGATGTTCAGAATAAAGTATGAACTTCTTAATGTAGTTCTTGGCACACTTCCCCATGCAACTCTGGCCCACATTTCAGCTATACCAAGCCAGTATTTGGACTATTCCTCCACCCTTTCACACATACAACTACCAAAAAGTTTACATGAACATCCATATTTTCTAGGTAAAGCACTAAGTGCTAGGGCTATAGTGATGCATCATATTTATATATTTTTTTAATACAGAGAAATTAGGAATACAGGTAATTACAATGGGAAGGGATAAGGGAGAGTCTAGGGAAACAACCGAAGGGCTACTGAGACCTGGATGGAGAGTAAAGGCCACAGATGATGGCTCTTACGCAAAATGAATGCGCCAGCAGAGGTCCAAAAGATAAACAGGAATTAATCATCCGAATTGTGCTATAGTGATGAGTACCCTAGGGCGGGAGAATCATCCTAATGTCTTGGAAATAAGAAAAATTTAAAAACTACAATAATTTCAAGACTGCCAGAGTATAGAACTGTGCTGCAGAATGAAACACTGGCAGTTCTTTCATTGTTTTTGCCCATTTGTCTACCTTTTCCTTCTTCCGACTGTCTTTATCCTCCTAGTCCATTGGATGAACTTCCAGTCATCACTTTGAGAACCTCTTTGAAGAAGACCCCCCCAACACATCACCACCAGTCTAAAGCTTCTGTGTGCCCCCCATTCTGCTCTGCACTTAGAGCTTTCCATGTCCTATCGCCACTGGGTATTTTCTGATATCTTCACTCAGCTCTGTGAGCTTTGAGGCTGAAAATTTTGTATCTTTATCTCCTGTTTTATTGGCCCCTAGTACAGAAGAAGGCACACAATACAAACACACACACACACACACACACACACACACATTTTATAGTGAAAAGGAGTAGAGATGGTTAAGATGTTATTTTTATTCTTACAATCCATCTGCAAATACGTTGGTTTGTGTTGCAAGACAGGGAATTTCTCTGAGCATGTATATAGAATGAAATTAATTCAAAGTCTCCACATCACAACATGGATGACTCATGGAATCTTTTTCTCCTCCAAATATCACAGAACGAGAACAGTGACAGAGCCACAACTTACTTGTTTCAAAAAGCCCACACACTACGTGCAATCTTAGAATAATAATCAATTGGACCAAAGTAAAGAATAGAAATAAATGTAAATATTTGAAGGGTTCAATTTACTTGCAAAGCATGATTAAGGACATCTTTGGAGACCTGGTCCATCAGAAAAGAAGGATATCAGCACAAGATTTTTTATTTCATAACACAGTATCTTCTCTTAGAAATAACTTTTGTTTTTCAAAATAAGGAAAACCAAATTACAATTTGTAGATTTTACTAGGTCAAAGGGATGCTATTAACACTCTCCTAGTAATCCTCTCAAAAAGTCTTTGTACTAGTGGATTTGGGGTATAGTTCATGGTAGCAAATTTGCTTAACATACACAAGGACCTGGCTTAAATCCCCAGCATGGCTAAAGTAAAAACAAATAAAACATACCACATAGTAAAAATAATTCAAAGAAAAAAGGCAGAAATTTAGGAGAACCAATGAGAGAAAACAAAAGATATCTGAGAAAGTAACTAAGGAGAAATAATTTGTGCAGTTTTCCTGCTGACAAAGTAAAGGGTAAATTATAAAGGGAAAATGTCCTCCCCAATATGTAGCACACTTACACACTTAATGTGTTATTTCACTTATTAATGGTAATGCTCTTCTCTCAGAAAGCTCTTGTGGCATGAATAAAGAATATATGCTAATTCTGATATTATTATGAAAACACTGTAGCACCATCTCTTCAAAAGATGAATAGCAACTAAGAGAACAGACCAGTTATACAGCTTAATTTGTATTTCATGGCTAGAGGTTTGAAACTATCCTGCATAAATTACATGCACACACCAAACCCTGAAGAAACACATGCTCTGGCCACCCGATTTAGCACATCTAGCAGAGCCCACTGTGGTTGAAACATGTACCTTCCACAGTTGCTCTCTTGGGCTGGATGGTGATGGCTCCCTCTGCAATATCTTCATGCTGGTGCAGGGGGTTTACTTTGGAGCCCCAGCTGTCCGATCCCACCCAAAGGAAATGGCCCACTTGGTCAGCTCTTTTGGCTGCTGCAAGGATCTGTCTGTGAAAAGAACACAAAAAGTACTTTAATGATAAAGAACAGAAGCTGTACATTAGTTTATTTAAAATTGAGTAGAAAGCAAGCAAGCTGGTTCTCCATAAGTAAACAATCTCTTTCTTTTCAATAATCAACTGTAAAAAAGTATACCTGATATATATCCCTAATACATGAAGAGATTTTCTAAATTCATAAAAAAGTCAAAGCATCGTGAATATGTGTAAAGAATATAAACAAGAAATAAGAAGAGAAATAAATATTCCATTAACTATAGGTACATAATCACGTTAGAAAGGATGGGAATAAAAATTAAAACTAGATACAAAATTCACTCCTCATATTGGCTGAAATGTTTGCTTTATTTTGTATTCTGAATTTTGGCTTGAAACTGGAGAAATGACCACACTCATTCACAGTTGGTGATATCATTTCTTAATAGCCATATATCAATATAAATCAAAGTTCTTACAGTATTAAAATGAACAGAATTCTATGTAAAACTGGAGAAATACACAATCCATATTTACTGATAAAAATGGTTTGTAAATAATTACAAGAGAAACAATGAAAGAATAAGGGAAACTAGTTAATAATGGTAAGGTATGGTATTTTGGAACAAAGGGGGCAAGGATGAGATGAAACTGCATTTGCAAAACACAAAAATCTAAGATTAAATTTCCTTCAATTGGTAGTATCACCAAAGAAGTTGTTTATTTGCCTCTAAGGACTTGAGGTTGCCAGATATTAAAGCAATGCATAAATACAGAAAAATTGGTTGGAAGATCATATACAAGATGGAAAATGAATCTTTCTTTCTCCTTCTAGGCAGGAAATGGAATGGTAATTTTCTAATAAAATTATAAAGGATAATTGATGTGATATCATGAGCACCCAAACAAAAAAGGTGGATGAGAGATGGTTTTGTTAAACATGGGATTAGGGATGGGAAGGAACGATTAAAAGTCAGCAGAGTATGTAATGACAGCCCTAAGACTGCCCAAGATTATTAATCTCCTGCTTACAGAATGCTACAAGCCAAGGGTAGGCTGTCCCAGGAAGAAAACAGTTTTTCTGGAAAGTTCTGAACCATCCCAGTAAAAAGACCCAGACAATGCCATAGATCTTTCAAATGCATTGTCAATCTGATGTGTGACCAACCCACTGAGACCCCATTTGATCAGTGCTCCTCACATACATAGTTTAGCACCTTGCTCAGTCGTGAACCACCAAAAGTTACTCAAAATTATAGAAAATCTCTAGTGGAAAACAGAAAAATTAATAAGAAAAAAGAACTGGTGTAGGGTGGGGAAAGGGTCATGCGTAAAACAGAACAAAATAACAAATACACTTAATTGAAAATTATGTGGACTCTGGAATAGGATAGGTGAAAAAGTAACAAAATGGTCCTTATTAAAAATAGGAAATTATAGTTACATTTGGGAGATAAAAAGGAAAGCAAAATTTCCAAAAGCCAAACCAACCAAAAGCTAGAAAATAAGCAAGTGTGCTAAAGATTAATATAGGAAGGCTTATATCCAACTAACATTTCAGCACAAATATACAGAAAAGATAATTTTTCAAATAAAATTTTAATGATGAAGAATCCAAACAATTAAAAGTATGAATTTCTAAACTGAAGAAGCTCAACCAGTATTAAAATGGGAGTAGAAATAAGTCATGTCATAAAATTTAAGATCTTTGGTAATAATGAGGCTATTGCAATAGTTCCTTCAGCAAAATTAGGACATGTGTAGAGAAATGTGAAACAAAAAGTCATTCGTTCAAGAGCAATAAATGAACAAATAGATTAAAGATGACAGAGCAATGATTTAATAACTGCAAAATCATGAGAAAAATGATTTTAAATTATAAAAGTCTGTTTTTTAACACATGAAGAATCCTGATAAAAAGAATTCATGTATTTGTTGAATTGGTCTTGTAGATTTTTCCATGCTACATTAGAATCTCATACTCCTAACAAATTAAGAGTTCTCTTAATTTTTAGTCACCGCCACTATTTGACATATATCATTTATGTGCCAGGGATAATATATTATAAAATGAATATTATATAACATCTCAACATTTAAGATATTAACTAAGTATGGAGTCAGAGCTAGAAAATTTTAGGCAGTAAGCATACAAACATTTTTATTTGATTTCCATTTTTTAAAATGTTATTAGTATTAGGACCAGGGATTTAACTCAGTGGTTCTGCTGCCTGCCTCACAAGCACAAGGTCCCAAGTTGGATCCCCAGAACAAAAAAACAAAATGAAAACAAAATACAAAACTGTTATGAGTTTATGTGCTCTAGGAATATGGAAAATAGACCAAGAATAAAAATCACTTACAATCCAAGAAAACGGAAGAGAGAGAGGGTGTGTGTGTGTGTGTGTGTGTGTGTGTATGTATTCTTAATATGGCATTAATTGGTCCAAACTAAAAGATTGTCAGGGACATTTCAGCAGGGATGTATCCAAGAAAAATAAGAATTTTCAGATTATTTTATATGTAAATATATGAGAAAAAGTGATAGACCTATATCATCAATAGAATAAATATTAAAGATAATTATGCAAGTAAAAACTCCAGGAAAAAACAAAAATATTTCAAAAAAATCAATCAAAATCATGCAAAAAGAAAAACTTGATGTGGTACTGCATAATATTTACATAACTGTAATAACATAAATATTGATTTTATAAAATAAAAATCTGGTAGACTGTTGGGAGAAGAGCAGGTCTGTGTGACAGAGATTCTACCTAACAAAAGAAAAATAGAAAAGATTTGATAGAAAAGAGTAAAAACTCCAAAATTGCAATGTCTACATATTTCACAAATAAGACCAAGAACAGAGTAGTTTAAACAACAGCATACTCAAAATGATCAAAGAGTATAAAATAATAAAACAGGAAAGTAATATTTTGCATAAAATATATCATAATTTTAATATATATATTTTCATAACTATAAAACACAATCAAATATCAATGCTCTGGACTTAGAGATACAACTTCTAATTTACTCAAAGAAAATATCACAATTGTTTATTCATTACTAGACACCTTAATCTAGAGCAATAAGAAAACAGTTAAATAATAGCATACCCACAGGATTAACTAGAGAGCAATAAAAATAGATTTAGTTTGATCTTTACAAGGTGCTAATAAAATAGAAAATTCAAATACAGAGTGTTAAAAAATTATTATGTACTGACAACTGACCAATAAATGTCTATAGCTGCATGTCTATGCATATAGTTAAAAGACAGGATTAGAGCATAGAAAAGAGAAACTAAGCAATTTGTTATTAACAACATTAAGAAGTGGTGATGATACTGGAAGAGGATAGAAAATATAGAGAAATGCCAATGAAAGAAGGAAAGACAAAAGAAACACAAAAGCATATGTTTAGAGTGCTATGTGCATGTTGTTTTTCAAAATTTATATAATAAAGTCATTTAAAACATTTAGGGGATGAAAATTATTGTAATCTATGATGATAACTGTAAAAAGTTACATGTAAAATTTAATGTGATCTTTATGTTTCATATAAAATTATTGTAAATATTAAATCAATATTTTATTTGTGGTTGTTTCTGAGTGTTGCATCTGTAGGATTTATAGGAGATAATTTAAAATTTATTGTTTGAGATTAATCTGTAATTTTCTAGGCAATTGGCAACAATGTAAAAATTTAGAGATCCTTTCATTTAGAAACAAGTACAAAAACAACTCTTCATTTTCCAACGGATTTACAGTGGGCATGTGTTATGTGTTCTGAAAATGAGTATCTCAGAAAAATATTTTGCTCTTATCTAAAATCCAAATTGTCAATACCCATGTCTGATTTAGCACTTATCTTAGTTTCAAAAATCTAGATATCAGCCAGGGATTGAGCTCAGTGGTACCGTTGCCTGCCTCATAAGCTCAAGGACCCAAGTTTGATCCCCAGTACCACAAACCAAACAAACAACCCAAAAATCTAGATATCCATGTCTATTCTTCTTCTGCTATTTTTTGACATAGTATTTGAAGTTAATATTCCAAGAAATCTCAAAATTTTCCATCTACATTGTAAGTCTTGTGAAAAAAATTTACATTAGGGGCAATATGCACTCTTCAGACCCCTCGCTTGTAAGATCACATTTAGAAGAAGCATGTATACACTTAACTTTTGTTGCTCAAAAAGTATTTATTGCTACTACTACCATAATCACAAAATATAACAGTATTTAACACACAACCAACACATGAGTATTACTGATTACATATACTTCATAGGTAAAATTAAAACTAGACACTATATGTAGGATGAAAGTATTATAACCAATAAGCACTGGATCTATCTTCAGTACACTTTTTACAGTATATATGTATATTTATATATGGTACATCTATATGATAAACATGAGGCAGCGTATTTTACATTTAGTAAAGGTGTAAAATAGATAATTAGAAGAATTTGATATGATGATTAAGAGGGATATTAGTGGCACTGAGGATAAATGGAACACAAAGGCAAGAGTAACATGGAAACACAGTTAGATAAGTAAAACAGAAAGTGAAGAGAAATATATCCTAAGAGGAACAAAATCACCATTTCTAAAGATAGAAATAATATATATTGAGGGCTGATCAGTAACCCATCCCAGAGAAGGGCATATGACAAATGGACCTTGGAGAACAGATTCAGCTTCAGCAGAAAAATAAAAGGCACTGCAAACACAGGTCATAGCAAGGTGCAGATGGAGCGTATTGGACAATTAGGTGGGTGATTGTAAGTCAGGTCTAAAGTGGGACTAAATTTTAAGTCATCACAAATTTCAGGAAAAAAAACTTGCACTTAGGTCATGAAGTACAGAGAATTAGACCAAGCATTTTTAAAAATTAATTTTATTGGTACATTTAAGACCTGTCATGTAAAGGTTCAAGATCCCAGTAATGAATGTAACTGTACTGTATACCTAGACTGTACCAATAAACGCAATAAAAAATCATAAAAAATATATGTAATCATTTAAGGTATACAATATAATGACATTCATTGTTGGAAATTTGCACCTTTACTTAATCCATTTGGTTCTTATTTTTTTCCCCATTCCCTGCCCTCCCTTCGACCCCTCACTCCTCCCTATCCGCAAAGACTGTTTCCATTTTTTATTTTCTTATATTAATTGTGTTCTCTTTCCTTTTCCCTGTTTCTCCCATTTCCCCGTTCCCTGTGACCCTTTTCTTCCTATTTCACATTATCTATTATACCTTTTAGTGCTTACTTACATTTTCAGTTTCTCACACTAGAGGAACTATTTGGTATTTACACATGTGTGTCCTATTTATTTCACTTAAGAGTACTGCCTCAATGTGCATCCATTGAGCTATAAGTACTTCTAATTTTTTATTTTTTATGGCTGAGTAGTACTCCATTTTATAAAAAAGAAAAAAAATAACATTTTCTTTATCTAGTCTCCTGTTGATGGGCAATTAGGCTGCTTCTAAGTTTTAGCTATTACACACTGTGCTGCTATGAACATGGATGCACATATATCACGGTGGTATGACTTTAATTCTTTTGGGAAGACACTGAGCAAGGGAATAGCTGGGTCAAATGAGACTCCCAATCCAGGATGAATATTAAGGATACAAAAATAAGTCAAATGAGGCATCATCTCGTCCCGAATGATGCCTACAGACTAACAGGAAATACTGATACTGATTAGCTACCCAACAATATAAAATTACACCGCTGATACAAACCAAGAGGTTGCATTATCATGAAGGATTAACTTCCTAAAGCTATGCTGTTTCGAGAAATCTTCTCTGACAAAGCAACACTATAGATTTTTCTCCCCCATTTCATTATCCCCTTGCCATCTCTGAGATGATGAATTAGGGACAAAAACATTCCAAGTAGGAGGAAGGAAAGGTACTTAGAAAGACCTGGAAGAGAGGAAATACAAATAACCCCTCTGCTTGCGGCATGAAGAACTGAGGTCACTCAGAAAGAAGTAATACAGGAAAGATAAGACAGGCCAGACCTTCCTAAAGATGACCTGAAATGAATTTGCACTTTATTGATGAGAGACATGACATTCAGAGAAGTTGGGAGTCACTGGAAAGAAACTGAGCTAAGACAGATCTCAAACTACGTAGCAAACTATTCTCAGGTACCTGTGCAGTGGGTCTCCATTCAGTACTCTTGCCGCCCGCACCTGTGATCAGAGCCTTAAGGTGGCAAGGTGGATGGACTCGGTGTGTAGAGTACAAGGAAGAGAGAGACGAACAAGAGTAGCAGGCTGATGACAATGACAGCCAGAAACCCAGGTAAGAAGTAAAATGGCCTGCACCCTTCAGTTTTACTAAGATTCACACACCTTCAAATCCAGTGATATATGATTTGAACTATGAGATAGACAGATCTAAAGCATCTCTCCCATACCAGTGAAGTATAAGGTGCCACGTCTCTGCGGGACAGCATTCACATTGTTAAAAATGACACATCTCTATTTTAGCATTTTCTAGTAATTCATTGTATAAATGCTAATAAAATATAAAATAGTACATTTATATATTACACATTTATGTTACATTTAGTATCATATATTTGCATACTGTAAAATATACTATAATTCAGATTGTGTATTTGTGTATTTATATTTGTGCATAAAGATTTGTGGAACAGGACATTACAGCATTATTTATAATCACAAAAGTCTATAATCTAACTTTAATGTCAACAAAGGCATAGTTAAATTACAGTACACATATAAAATAAAATTTTGCATAGCTGTTAAAAAGACCGACTAGATCTAAAGGTAGTGATATTTAGTGTTCTCTGTGATAAAATGCTAAGTAAAAAAAAATAAAACAAGGTCCAGGTATGGTACTATATGTCCATAATCCCAACTACTCAGGAGGCTGAGTCAGGAAGATTGCAAATTTAAGACCCAGCCTGTGCAACTAAGTGAGGTTCTGTTTGAAAAGGTAAAATGAAAAGCACTGGGAATGAAGCAAAGTTGTAAAATGTCCCTGAGTTCCACCCCCAATACTGCTAAAAAAAAAAAAAAAAGATATATATCTTTTTTTGATATATCTCCCTATACAGAGATGCATGTATCTTGATCTAGATATATAAACATATAAATATAATGTAATGTATATTTTAAAATATTCTTTCTATCTATCTATCATCTATCTATCTATGTCTGTCTATCTGTCTGTCTGTCTGTCTATCTATCTTCCACAAATACAGAATGGAGAGACCAGTAATGAGCCAGTACCTCTAGAAAGGAAAACGTTAAAGCCTGTTTTACCTTTCACATTTCAATCTGGTATTGTATAACAGCATTTAGTATAGAAAGATAAAAACAAAGATTTTGGATCTGATTGGTAGGGTCTAGCAAAGGAAGCAGGGGACATTTTCTGGAAACGTTTCAAGATTGGCTTTACTTGGGTTAGTTACAAATGCAAGAAGCTGGGAAAAGGGGGAAAATCAGATTACAAGCAGATTTCTGAGTTCAAGGGAGACACAGGTAAGGGAGGAAAAATGAAAATGTGGCTTGGAGAATGCAGAGTTATGAAGAGTTTTGTTTTGAACATACCACATGTAACATTGGCAGTAAAGCCAGAATGTACGCTATTTTCCTTTTACAGTAACAGAAATCATTCTTTGTTTAAAATCTGCTATATTTGTATTTTTTAAAATAAACTAGCCCTTAAAATGTTTCTTTTACACCAATAATTAAATACACTTATTTGTTCTCTTCCCCTCCCTCCCCCAGGTACTGGGGATCTAACTCAGGACCTTATGCTTGAGAGGACGGCACCATGCCACTGGGCTAAATCCGCAGCCTGAATACAATTATTTTCTAAGAGAAAGAATATCAATTACCACAACATGCTGCTCTTTCCGGTTTTAACTGTAACTACCTGTACTGGGGTAGAAAGCAGAGAGAGACATTGCCATATATGATGATAGCTCTCATCTTATGATACAGTTTTCCTTTCTTTGCCTGCTTCTAGATCTCTCTGTCTCTTAAATCTACAACATGCAACTGAACAAATTTCACCAGTGATTCTTACTTTATATCTTCATCGTTGGCAAAAATCACGACAGCCCTGGAGTTGGGGGTGTCCAGGAGCTGTCTGATAATTCTGTCAAAGTCAATGGTCCTGTCTTTGCGCTCTTGGGGGATTCTCACCGACTGAGCAATGCAGAGCCCACCTGTTAAAGACAAAGAAAGCAGAGGGTCAATGAAGTTCGCACAGAGACATTAAAGGAACCAGGGGAGGGAGTTGGACAGACAGGAATTTTGAATTCTGAGTAAACTGTCATTCCTTGATCATGTGTCTGGTTCAGGAAGGCGTAAGACACCGTGATGAGTCCTGATCTACTGGCACCACTTCCTGCACTTCTCAGCAAACTGCATGCTCTCATTCTCTTTGCAAAGTACTTATAAGTGCATGATTACGCTCAGAATCCCAGGGGCAATTCTGAAGAGACAGCTTCAGATTCATGCATTAAGTGGGTAGATCGTGTCAGGTCCTTCAACTGAATAATGTACTACATCGAAACAGTGAAGAAATGAGCACAGGTAAAGCTCATGTTTATCCCTCTGAATTCTGTTATTTGGATTACCAGAAAGTTGTCTTCCCTTCACACCAATCTCAATTTTGACATAAAGTGAAAAACTACGGACAATAACGACACAACCATCAGTTATTATAAACCATGATAACCTATTGTTTGGACAAAATATCCAACAGTTACAACCTTAAAAAGGAGAGGTATATTTTGTTTCTTATTGCAATCCAAGTCAGCTGGCTCCAAGACAGAATGGCATGGCAGAGGGGCATGGCGGTAGAATGACGCTCATGGCATGCTGGACAGAAAGCAGAGAGTTAAACAATAAAAAAAAAAAGGAACTGGGGAAGGGGACACACCCATGCAAGTCACACGCCACAGCAACTCATCTCTTCTGACCGGAACCCACTTCCTAACTTCAAGCCAGCTATTCAGCCCCATCTGTGGGACTCTTGCATGGCGTTTACATATAAACCCTAACGTTCCACCTAGGGCCCGCAAAAGGCTCATGTGCACCTTTTTATACACAATATATGTAGTTCACTTAAAGTTGTCAAAATCTTAACATTGTGCATCTACTTAGCTATAAATGTCTCTAGTTTCTCATTCTTTATGGCAAAGTAGTACTCCATTTTATAAAACAAAACAAACAAAAACCCAGATTTTCTTTATCCAGTCTCCAGCTGATGGGCAATTAGGCTGTTTCCAAGATTTAGCTATTACAAACTGTGCTGCTATAAACATGGGTGAGCATATATCACTGTCTTAAGACAAATGAATAGGACACATATGTGTAAATACCAAATAGTTTCCCTGGTGTGATAACCTAAAAGTGTAAATAAGAAGTCAAAATGTGTAATTGATATTGTGTAAGAGGACAAAAGGGCTAAAGGTGTAGGCGAAGTGAGAAGGGTAGGAAAAAGGTAAGAAAAGAAAAAAATAAGAAAAGGAAAAATATGGAAACTATGTCTTTGTAAATAGACTTATTGTTCAGGGGGTAAAGGGAGGACAGGGAAATGGTGAAAAAATAAGAACCAAGGATACATCATGTAAGTTACAAGATGCCAGTGATGAATGTAACTGTAGTCTATACCTAAAAAGCAACAATAAAGAAAAAAAATCTTAATATTTTCAGGAGTGTTGAAAAGTCCAAGTCCAAATTCTGAGATCAAAGCAAGCCCTTAGTTGTAAAGGCAAAAAGAACTTACACACTGCTGATGGAGAATGGCGTAAGACAAACATGCAAGATGTGTCAAGATATGAACTTTAAAGGGCTTGGGTTGCCTTGCCCTTAAGGCATTGCTGGTGGTTGTAGCCCTCATGGATTTTCTTTATGTTGACTTTGCTCGCTGCTGTGGCTTCCTCGGGAAATTCCACGTTCTGGGGTTTTCTGACTCTCTGGGATCTCCACCGCACTTTTCACTTCACTTTCAGAGCTTTACACACTGCCCTCTCAGAGGCACATTGCCCGAAAGCCTTTTCCTGAAATCTGGGTGGAAACCTCCCTGTCCCCACAACTCTGACATTGTAAACCCCCATGAACAGAGCGCCACAGGAATGGTATCAAGGCCTGCCACTGGCTCAAGCAACAGCTAGGCCCCCCTTGAACTAAGTGGTGTAGCAGGGGCTTTGAGTATACAGAAGACTGAGCACTGTGAACTGAATCCTAGTGAACCAGTTCCCTAGATGGCCTTTCTAAAGCAGGGTTCCCTGGGGCTCTCTTTCCAAAGCAAAGTCTTACAGATTTTCACCCTTGAGCTTATAAGGTCTGGGGTCTTGCAAATGCCTGGCATGCACTCAACCCGTGTTTCCTACTGTCCTGAGCTAAAGCAGTCGATTTTGAATGCTAATTTTTTTCCACCACCAAACTCTTTTGCTCCATCTTCAGAGACATTTTGTTTGATTATTTGTTTTGTTCTTAGACAGGATCTTGCTTTGTAGTATATGTTAGACTTGAACTCCTGGTGATCCTCTTGCCTCAGCCTCCCAAGTGCAGAATCATAGGCATGTCCTACCATACATGGCACAGGCTCTTTCTTTCTGGCAAAACTGAAACCTTTTTAAATGGGAGTTTTGCTCCTGATTTTCAGTAGCAATCTGACTAAAAGCAGTAAAGAGTATTCATGCTATAGCCTGAACTTTAAATTTTCTCTGCCAGATTAATTTGCCACCTTTAATCTCAGTCTTCAACATACACTATGTGCCAAGTCATAACTATTTTATATGTGTTACTTCAAGCCTTTCAAAAGCCTTGTAAGATACTTTGTCTTACCCATTTCATGTTCAGCAAAGGGACAGGTATATGGGTATTTTTACACCGTATCTCATACATTACGATATTAATTGGCAGTATAAATTTCAAGGTATGAAAATTTCAAACAATTAACTAAGCACTTTGTAGACTTTCTTCCTTTCTAGCTCTTGGATCTAGTAGTACGGAAAGTGTTCTTTAGGTAAGTGAAATGGACAGAGAATGTACTTTTAGGAAAACTGTAATGATCACCCAGGGGCAGATATCTTAGAAGTTCAGACAAGAAGGTTGCCTTGGTCTAAGTGTGTTCAGGAGACACCTGCAATCAAAAAAACACACCACGAACACTGCCAACTGAGTACATGTTACTAGGTTTCCCCAAACACATAAAAAATATAAACTGCAATACAAAACTGACCCTCCACTACACTTTTCTTTGCTCATTGACTTTATTGGTGTATTTTAGGTATACAGTACAGTTACATTCATCACTGGGATCTTGTACCTTTATGTGACAGGTCTTGGTTCTCATTTATTCCCCTTGTCCCTTCCCTCCCTTTACCCCCCTCCCTCCCTTCCCTATTTAAAGACACTTTATTTCCATTTTTTCATTTTCTCATTTTTTCTTTTCCCTTATTACCTTTCTCCTACCCTTTCCATTTCCCCTATACCCTTAGCCCTTTTTTTCCTATTTCATGTCATCAGTTATCTCATTAGGATCTTATGTACCATTATAGTTTTTCACACCAGAGAAACTAGTCAGTATTTATACATGTGTGTCTTATTTATTTCACTTAGTTTATCTTCAATATGTATCCATTCTTCTATGAATGAATCTAATTTCTCATTCTTTATGGCTGAGTAGTATTCCATTTTACAGAAAAATCACACCTTCTTTATCCAGTTTTCAACTGATGGGCAAATGGGCTGTTTCCAAGTTTTAGCTATTACAAACGGTGCCTCTATAAACATAGGTGTGCATGTATCATGGTGCTATGATTCTTTTAATTGTTTTGGAAAGATACCCAGCAGAGGGATGGCTGGGTCAAATGGAACCTCTAGTCCCAGCTCTTTGAGGTATCTCCATATTGATTTCCATAGTGGTTGCACCAGTCTGCGCTCCCACGAACAAGGGAGAAGGATTCCTTTCTTCCCACAACCCTGCCAACATTTGTTATTATGTGATTTCTTGATAGCAGCCATTCTTTGTGGGGTGAGGAGGAATCTCAGTATTGTTTTCATCTGCATCTCTCAAATGACCAGTGATGTGGAACATTTTGACATCTATTTCTTTGCTGCTTTCACTTCTTTGTTTGAGAAATGTTTGTTCATTTCAGATGCCCATTTTTTAATCAGGTCTTTATATTTGGGGGGGATGATTTTTTTGAGTTCCTTATATATTCTAGATAATAGTCCTTTGTCTGAGGAAAAGCTGGTAAATTTTTTTCCCCACATTGTAGGTTGTCTTTGGTTCTGTTGATGGTTTCTTTTGCAGTGCAGAAGCTTTTTAATAAGATGAGATACCAGTTGTTGATTCTTTCTGCTAGTTCCTGACTACACTTTATTTTTAACAAGTGTTAGCTATCCTTAAGTGATCCTAAGCCTTCAGCTTGCTTGAAATCATCTCTGGTCCTTCTTCCAAATATGATTGTCTCATGACACTATCAAGTGTCTTGACCTAATTGATATTTCTAGAAATTCCATAGGAAAAAGGAGCATACATTCTTTTTCAAGTACAACAGAACATTCATTAATGCAACTCATATTTGGGTCACTAAAGAAAATAAATTAATAAAAAAATATAGAGTACATTCTCAGATCATAAGAGTCAAGTATAAATCAGTAACTAAAAGCTAACAGAAAAATCCACGTGCTTGGAAATTAAACAACAGACTTCTAAAATTATTGACAGTTCAAAGAATGTGTATCAAAACAAACTTTAACCTATCTTGAGAGGTGGGAGAATAGCTGAGTGGTAGGATGCTTGCATGAGATGTGAAGGCCCTGGGTTCAACTCACAGAAGCTACCAAAAAATTAGTGAAGTAGAAAAGAAGGCAGGCGGGCAGGCAGGCACAGCCCTCCAAAAAGGAACAGAAGACAGAATTAAACCAAACCCTTCCTCAATAAATACATACATATCTTGAAGAAAGAGTATAATATATCAAAATTTATAGCTAAAGCTGTGTTTAGAAGAAAATCATATCACATGCTTATATTACAAAATAGGAAAAACCTAAAATCAGCAACCTAAATTTCACTTTAGAAATCAAAAAAATAAAACACAGCTGAATAAATATCCCTCCAAAACAGAAAGACATGAAAAAGATAAATCAAGCCAGGGAATTTGAAAAGAGAAACAAAAAATAACATCAAAAGCTAGAAAAATAA